AAAAAAAAAAAAAAAAAAATTATTTATTTTTATTATTAACAAAAAATAAAAAATAAGATTTTAATGTAGATTAAGAATGCATAAATTATTTTTAAAAAATTATAACAAAATGTTAATTGCATTAAAAGTTATCAGTTAGATCTGTTCCACCTTGTATATAAAAAATATTTTTTAATTGATTTAATATGTAATTTAATTCATTATTTAATTTTTATTATATTTTATAGTTATAGACACATAAAAAAAATAATGCTTGAAATTTATCAGAATGATATTGATGTAGCTATATTTTGTCTTGATACAATAAATGAATTTTGTATTCCTGGATTCGATCAAGAATTTTATATTGATGATTCTAGCGGGTATTCCAAAAGTTTTATTTTTATTATGTATGCTACATTAAAGCAATTTATTCTTATAAACTTTATACTATACTTGTAGGACTTTATTTACTTTTGGATATTTTTTACTGAATAATAAAGCAATGCCAACCTTCTTTGTTAGAGTTACAAAGTCTGAAGATATTGTTAAATTTTGTAATCCATATCTATTACCTTTTTTAAGATTTATTTGTAGAATAGAACCAGTAACACCTTTAATAAAAATAAAGGTATTTACCTTTATGATTAGATTGGTTAATTTAAATTTCATTACAATTTTATTAATAGTCTATTCTAATTTATCATATTTAGGTGAATAATTCTCATTATTTACAAAATCTCGAAGAAGAATACTTAAATTATATACAAGGTTGTATAACTTTAAAAAATGGAGAATTTCATGCAGATTTAACAATTCCAGATGAATGTAAGTTTTTAAATTCAATTATATATAAATATATATTTTAATTTATTACTAAATATTTATAAAAAAATTAAAAAAGATTTTAATCAAAGATACTTTTATTATTTCTACAATATTAAAATTATGTAAGTATAAGTAGAATTTGCATAAGTATATACAAATAACTATCAAAATAAAATCGGGAAAAACACTATGAAGTGTCCAGAAAATAACGGCAATTTTTAAAATTTGCGAGTTAGGAGAGTCCGTTTATCAAATTTTTTTTTAATAATGTTGGTGTAGATGTCCCTGAAGATTATGATAAAATTTTTAGCAGGTTTATTTTTTACTTTGTCAGTGGTAACCGCTAAGGTTAGACGTAGTTTTGTGAGCTTGGCGATTTTTATTTGTTAAAAAATAGATCAAAGGATTTGTATATTTTGCGTAAGAAATGAAATTAAGTGTAACGAAGTGCGTGAAATGTTAACAAAGGCCTATAGTGAGTCTGCCATGAGTATAACAAGGGTTTATGAGTGGTATATGCGTTTCCAAGATGGTCGTAAAGACGTTGAAGATGATGAACGCACCAGACGACACCCAGCACATGAGCAACCTATGAAAACGTAGAAATAGTGAAACAAATGGTTATGAACGATCGCCGAACACAATCAGAAAAGTCGCTGATAATATTAATATTGGAATATGAATTAACTTATGCCATGATTTTTTTTTTAATGTTTTGGGTATGAAACGACCCGTTACCAGCAAAATTTGTTGAATTTTGAGCAAAAACAGCGGCGAAATGAAGTCAACGAGAATGCAAAATTACTGCAACGTGTTATAACACATAACGTAATATTGGTTTATGGATACAACGTCGAAACTAAGGCTCAATCGTCCTAGTAGAGGCATTCTGGATCACCAAGACCCAAAAAAGTGTGATCGAACGTGAAGATTATGCTCACTGTGTTCTTCGACTTTAATGGCATAGTGTATCATGAATTCTTGCCACAAGGTTAAGCGGTCAATAAGGAATACTACCTACAAGTTCAACGTCATTTGCGTGAACCAATCTGAAAAATACGCCCAAATTTAAGACAAAACAATTCATGGCTTTTGTACCACGATTATGCACCTGCTCATACTTCGTTGTGTTTGTTCATAAATTTATGGCCAAAAACAATACTATAACGATGCCTCAGCGTCCATACTCGCTAGACATGGCTTCGTGTGACTTTTTTCTATTTCCAAAAATAAAGAGAAACTTAAAAGGCCGTCGTTTTACAAGCATAGATGACATTAAAAGTGCATCGCAGAATAAACTGAAGGCTATCCTAAAGATCGAGCTTGAGAAGTGTTTCGAAGTTGGAAGAAGCGTTGGCACTAGTGAATAGTATTTAATAAAAATTTATTGTGAAGGCGACAACATTAATGTAGACGAATAAATAAATATTTTTTCAAAAAACGAAAATTCCCGTTATTTTCTGAACACACCTTGTACAAACATATAATAAAATATAATTTGTAAAATCCAAGATTTCTTATATTTTGTTTGTTAAAAAATAAAAACTTTTTTTGTTTCTATATTTTGCTAATATAATTTATAATCGAAAATTATGAACTATTAATTGTATTCGATTTATTTATAAAAATATGGAATATCATATTACTTTTTTTATTTTTAGCTTCATCAAGTAATTGTCTTATACATGTCTCAAAGAATGACACAATAGAATCAAATTTATGTGAACTGAGTGCTATCATTACTCGATATCCTTGGTATACTTTTATGGAACAATAAATAAATATTATTTGAGTTATTTTTAATTCAAATGTTTTTTAAATGTGCCATTCTCTATATTTTTACTTTAAATAAAAATTAAATTTCAATCATATGTTTGCAGGTTTGATTTAGTTTCATTATTTATTAAATTTTATTTTATTTTTGTGTATATTCACTGTATTTAAATATGGGTTTTAATAAAAATTGGTTATTGTACTTGCTTTTAAAGGGATCATCAAGAGCTCGTGGGTATTATGACTCAAAATCTTTCCCCTGGATCCTTCTGATTTGTATTGTTGTAGTTTATCTTTAATATAAAATTCTTATTACTTATTAATTTTACTCCTACTATACTTTGAAATAATAGTAAGTAAATACATTATCAAATAGAGAAATAAAAACCCAGCACAGTGGGGACGTGGCATAGTTTGGTCCAGTATAGATTTAATCTGACAGTGATTAAAATCACTATCATTAGAAACGCTTGGATCTAAGTTTGTAGATAGTGTTCAATTCTAAGAAATTGGTGGATAATTACAAAAGCAAAATGAACTCCTATTTTCTTATTTATAACATGATTAGTAATTCTTAGATTCAAAAATATAATATATAATTATATAATAATCAATTTTTTAATTATATATTTTATCATTTTTATAATTAATTGTTTTCAAATTATTATTTATTTTGATTTTTAATATGTTAAAAGTAATTACTTTTAATCTACTTTTTTTGCACTTTAAAGTAAAAGTTTATAATAAAAAAGAAATTTATTACCATAACTTTTAGCTCAACTTGCAAATGTTAAATTTATATGATTAAATAGAAAAAATGGTATTGTTAAGATTAATATGCACTCAGGAAATTTTATAATTATTATTTACAGTAAATTTATTAGTAAAACTCGATTTTTTTGCATTTTTATTGTAATAGATCACTTAAATAGAAATCATAGTAATCATTTCTAATTAACTTTTGGTGTTTAAAAAGATTCTACAATTGAAATATGCAGAACTAAATTAATTTTAATGATTTACTTTAACTAAAAAGAACCAATATAAAACAAGTTGTTAAAAAGATTTACTCAATTGAGCGTATTATAAAATTTGATTATAATTGTATAAATCCATCGTTAAATTCAGGTGAAACTAAAAATAATTTTTTTTTTTAGATTTGTGATTTATATAGTAACATGTTACCAAAAAACTCATAGTAATCATTTCTAATTGACTTTTGGTGTTTAAAAAGATTCTACTATAGAAATATTCAGAACTTAATTAATTTTTTAATGATTGACTTTAACTAAAAAGAACCAATATAAAAAAAGTTGTTAAAAAGATTTAATCAATTGAGAATATTATAAAATTTGATTATAATTGTATAAATCCATCGTTAAATTCAGGTGAAACTAAAAATAATTTTTTTTTTTAATTATGATTTATACTGGTAGTACACACAAATAGAGTCAAAAAATTAATAAATTACAAAGTAAAATAATTTACTTTTGTAGTTGAATATTCTTATCATATCAAATCTGATTCGACAACAAATACTTTAAAAATATTAGAAATTAATGATTTTAATTGTTTGTATGGATAAAGCTGGTTAAGCTTTTTGAGGGTAATATCTTCAACTAAATACGAATAGTAATCATTTGATGTATCGTCGAAAAAAGTAGGTTAAGTGATGTTTGGAAAAATTAATAGCGGCCTCAAAAAAAAACAGTAAAATAAAATTAACATGAATAAAAAATTTCTTCTCAGGAGGGGAGACTATAGTGATAGGATCCTTGATATTTATTGAAGTTATTGAATCTTAATGAGATAAAAATCAAATGATTTTCTAACTCAAAAAAAAATGCAAAATATTAAATGCCACAGGCGGATGCGAACCTCGTACCCTTAGCGTGAAAGATACAAGTGTTACCGATTCGGCAATTGTTAGTCGCTTTTGTCGCATTATAAAATTAACAATTTAAACTAATTCAAATTTAAAAATTACTTTTTCAACTTTAAAAAAGTAAACAAATTTTAATAAGTTTAATTTCTTATGTCTTATGAACTTTATTCTAAGTCAATTTAATTATATAATATTCATGAAAGTCAGTGTATTACCCTTATAAGATATTTTAAAATAAAATACAAAAATAGCATATTTTTTAATACGGTCGCTATTTACGTATAGAAGTTTGGTCGTCGAGACAAATTTTTTTTTTTCATTTTATAGTATATAACATAACCTTTGATTTGATATATGTTTAAAGGACGCAGTATTTCCGGAACATTTTCAAAAATTAAGTTGGAAAAGTTAATTTTTGTAAAAAAGTTGCTATTTTAAATCCCCCCCAATGAGCGGTTAAGTGTTAGATTTTCAAAAAAATGATATCAAATGAAAGGAAAATATCTAAGGTTTTAGTATAAAAAAAAATTATGTTGATTTGTTCATTTTTGAAAAAGTTATGGAAGTTTTAAGAAAAAAAAGTGAAAAAATTTCGAAAATTAGCGATTTTTAAATTTGTAATTTTTTTGGATATTTCCCCCATTTGCGGGAACGAGGGAATTTTTTTCAATTTTTAAGGGTAATGTCTTCAACTAGATACGATTTGTGATCTTTTGACGTATTTTTGAAAGAAATCGGTCCAGTGAGAGCTGAGAAAAAGTGGCAACAGACATAAAAAAAAAAAAAACATCATGGTAAAATTAATACCTTCTCAGCTTCGCATCGAAGCTAAAATGTAATTAATGTAAATTAACTTAAAAAAATTTAAAATTCAAGAGGTGGTTCTGTAATTCTAGAACGCAAATAATACAGATTATCATCGTCTTTGAATGTATTGAAAATAAATATTAAAATTCATAAGCGCATTCTGAAGGGTCTTAGTTCCGCTAATTTTGCCGTAATCCCCTCAATAATATGAAGATTACATGTAAATTTATAAAGAAATAGTTTTAAAGAGGGGAAAATTTAAGTTAGATCCCCAACGTTTTGTTGTCAATGGCGCCTATGTAAAAACTATATATGAAAATTCTGTATATAATATATATAATTGTATAACAATTAACAGTCGATTGACTCAAAATTATTTTTTTAAGAACTAATATAAAAGCATAAATACAGAATGTATTTATGTCTGTTTAAGCAACTAAAAATAAAACCGACGTTATGCATATTCGGTAAAGTAGTTAGACCCCAATTTATTTTGTAGTCATTTAAAATCTGTTTTTAATATCGATTTATTCATAACGTTTTTATCAGTATATTTGTAGTAGTGACGTTTTAGAGCGTCTACATTGTTCCTTTTCAGGATAACAGCGTATCGTTAACTGCTAATTGTTCAGTTGATACTAGATATTGTTATTTTTTGCGGCATTTCTGTTTACTAATAAAAAAATTTAAATGTTTTGTACAACATATTAATTATGATTAAAGTTAACCCGATGGACGGGTTTATATTATTCATTTCATAATTTTCAAGTTCGTTAAAATTGAAATAATGTCGAAATCTAAGGGTATTGTTCAAGACCAACCTGGTCCATCTACAACAAATCGTATGACTGATGATCCCATAGTAAAGAAAATATTAGAAACTAAGGCTTTGGAACTTAGCTTACCTAGAGTTGAAAAATTAATGAAAGTTTCTAAGAAAACTTCTTGCCAGGTATTGTTTATTTTTAGTTATATTGTCAATTTGAGTTACAGGCCAGATGAAGTGTTAGTGCAAGTATGGAAAATGTTAGGGGATCTAAGCATAAGGTAACCTTATTCTTAGATCTTTTTAATAAAGTCTCAGTGGAAGGGAAGATGCCAAAAGGATAGAGGAAAAGTATTGTGGTACCTAAATTTAAAAGCAGAGGAATCATACAAGAAAGTAGAAAATATAGAAGCATAAAGATTATGAGTCATATTATGAAAATTTGGGAAAAGATGTATATATATATATATATATAATAGATAACAGAATAATAAATGTTTGGAACGTCAATGATGGAGCCGTTATTTTGTGTGACACAGTTTATAGAAAAGTATAGGAAGAAAAAGAAAAAAAGCTTTATATGGTATTCATAAATTTAGAGATGGTGTTTGACACAGTGCCGATAGAAGTTTTATAGTCTGCAATAATGTATAAAGGTACTTGTACTAGAGTAAAAAGTATGTATGGAAAAACAAGATTTAAGAGCTCTGAAGTTAAAAGAGTAAGGACAATATAATAATATATGTGATAGGTATGGTGGAAAGTTTTAAATATTTAGGATTATTCGTACAAAAGAACATTAATATAGATGAAGATGTGAGACATAGTATTAAGTGCAGGTAAATCAAGTAGAAAGAAGCGCCTAGTGTTTTGTGTGATAAGAAAATCCCAATATAGCTAAAAGGTAAGTTCTATAAGATCGTAGTGAGACCAACTATGTTGTATGGGTCAGAATATTGGACATTTTACAAGAAAGTACATTAAACAATGAGTGTAGCAATGATGAGAATACTTAAATGGATAAGTGGAGTGACGAGAGAAAATATAATAAAGAATGATATGTAAGAGGAAGCATAAAAGTATCGTCGATCATAGATAAGATAATAAACTTGGGTAGTTTGGTTTATTATGAAGAGAGAGAAACCGGAAAACAGTAAAAACGGTTATGGAAAGAAACATCATAAAGAGGTGGTTGGATATAATTGGGAGTGATATGAGGAATGCTGGTGTTTGTGTGCATGCTTAAATGATATGGGAGATTGTGTTAAGTGAAGGTTTAAGATATAGGTGCCGACTCCAAGTAAATAACATTAAGGTGAAAGGGAAGAAGAAGATTGTCAATTTGAATTATATCTCTAATAATATTTATACTATAATGTTGAATTCCCTTATTATATTATGTATAATGTAACACTTATTGTAGAATTGTTAGTTATTTAATTGATCCATAAAAAATATATTCATCTTTTAATTAAATGAATCAAAAATACAAATAATATTTTTGGTTATATTTCTGCAATTCATTGATAACCCACTAAAGATTTAAAAAGTATAAGTTTAAAAATGTTGAACTTTTAATGGTTAACATAACATTTTAAAATTTCTACATATTTATAATAATAATTATTAATTAATATGTATTCGTACAAAATTTTTTGGTAAATTAAGTTTACTATAACATAGAATTATTATTTGCGTGGTTTAAATTTAAATAATTTTTAGTAATTTTGAAAATTCATTTAAAATTTATTTGATTTACAGAACTTTAAGTTTCCTTATAGTTTCATTTTTTGTTATTTAATAAAGAATGGATTAGAATCTAAAATCATTGATTAGACTTTCATGATTTTTTGGTACACTTTCTAGGATTGGCCATCATCCTCCTGTAATTTTATGCATTATTTTTATTTTATTATAATATTTATTGCAAATGAGCAAATTTTTTTCTTCAAACAAATAAAATTTCATTAGTGTACCATAAAAGTAATTTATTTTAATAATATGATAGACATCCGGATGTACTTGTAATGGATGGCAACAATCAAGACGGTTAAGCAATCCTGTAATGACTTCTCTTTGCAATAAAACTTCATGTAATCATCCACTCTGTAAGTATAATACTACATTATTTATCAAAATTGTATTCTTTTATTTAATGTTCATTGATTTAATATCTAACCTGTTTATTGTAGCTGATCATACAAAACACTTAACAAATATTGATGACAATGAGTTGAATGCTCTACTTGGATTAGTATTCGATCTTGATAATATAGCAATAACTGTTGATAAAGAATCAAAAAAACCTGATAATGAACGAAATTTTGTTCAAGAAGAAGTTTATAATGCAATATATCATGTTAGTGAAACATTAATTTTTTTTTATAATTTTTTAGTGATAAATAATTAATCAATTTTAATCTTTTAGGAGTTGCGAAAACATGTTTATCCTGGAGCAATTATATCAATGGAAAAGTTATTTGGACCTCCTCCATTTGAAACCCCAAATATTGTGAAAGCTTTAATGAATTTCAATATGTATAAATTTGGCCATGAAAGCAATGTAAGTTATAAAAATTGAAAAATTCTTTCAAAAAAAGAAATGCTCAAGATGATACAATTTTATTAATCTATATTTTTATTTAGCAATTAAAAATAGCTCTGAAAATAACTAAATTACTACTAAAACACTTGGACTCATGGAAATGGACTGCTCCTATGGAATTACCCTCATGTAAAACTCTACAACAGCGAAATAGTTATGAGTTTTACTATCACAGGTATTTTTTTATAATACAATTTTAATCATTAGAATGATATTTTGGTTTATAATAATATTAATGTATTATTTAAGTACTTCATGATAAAAAATTTGAATGTACTATGTATTTATTTAAATATATCTTAATAATTTGCAGATACATGGCTTTTTGTTATCTACCAAAATATCTTCACTCAATTGCACCAGGTTGTAAAATGAGTATGATTTTTGGACGAGATGTTTTAAAATTCATATTAAAAGTATTCAGAATGCATTTAATGGATTGGTGCCATACAGAATCTGTTAAGTGGTCTAACCACAGAAAATTCTTTTGCATGAACTACTTACCCAAGTACTTTTTATCATAGCTCATAATAATTTACAACATAATATTATAATGGAATTTATTTTTTAGATATTTGAATCTCCTAGAAGATGAAGTCTATGCAACGCATTCACCTATATGGGATTTACATTTTAAAGATGCTGATTTAAAGAGAATAATTCTTAGTGGTAAAATAACTTTACTTTAACTAGCTAGTGATTATTCTTAATAATTATTAGTATATCAATTATATAAATAATAATAGTATTATCAATGTAATATTTGGTAAAATTCTATACTAAAGAAAATAATTGGTAAAAATAACATTTAAATTTGAGTATCTTTCATCGATTATAAACTAAAAGTAGACAAACTTAAAAGAATTTTAAGATTTGCAAAACAACTATATATTTTTTAAGAAGTGGATACATTTTTTTAGTGGGAGAGTGCTTATCGGTAATTAAGGTAACTATTATCGCATGATTTATAATACATTATATCTGTGTGTAGTTATTAGGGTTTAATGTTGTTCAATGATAGTGTTTAGGATTAAATGGTAAATTAAAGCTTATTGTAATCACCTTCAAAGATGATTGATAAAATATCTATTAAAAACAAAAATTATACTTGCCTAATAATATTTTATGTTTTAAGTAATGGTAAATTAAAAATATTGTAACATATATTTATTAGATTCTCAAGACTTGGGACTTGAAACTAATGATGTCGAATTTGTAAAAGAAAAATGTCCTAATGAGTATGTATAACTTTTCATTAATTATGTTATTATTTTAATATCCAGTAAAAACAACAAATAAGTATTTTGAAATTATTAAATATTCAAATTAATATATCTTCAATTTTGTTTTTATTTTCAAAAAGTTCATCATTATCATCTTCTCCTTAGCCTCTATATTACAAATATTTGGGGTCCACTCTACTCTACAACAATTTGATAGGAATTTTACCTTAACTGTTGTCGTACATTGGTAGTGCCCCAACGTAGACACAAAAATTCGTACACAAATTAACAAATGTTCTTTGACTTCGAGTTCGTCATTTTTAGCTCTTCTCGAGTCCTCCCATTGGGTACACTGGTCAACCCCATCCCTCAAATTAGTCAACTACTAAAGGGGTAGAGTTTAGCAAAATCTGTGTCACTGTTAAAGTTCTTGTATGAAATTAACAGCAAACAACACAACTGAACATGAGCACTAAGATGGCAACTGAATAATCCACTGTGTTATAATATATTTTATGTATAGGTGTTCAGTAAGTAAGGAAACGAGTTTCTATTGTTCTCATTGTTTGTAACAATTGACCTGTTTCCTTACTTACAAAACACTGTATACTGTAAATAATATACTTTGTTTATTATAATAATCTAAAAAAGGAAAAACTTATATTCCTGTTGTTGCCTGTTTATTTCCTATATATATATATATGTATGTACAAATCATAAACTTAGACTTAGATTAAAATTTTCTATACATCAATTTTATATTTATAGAGAAATACCTGGAAAATCAAATGAAAAAGTCAATATTGAAACATTATTGCCAGAACAAAAAATTGTTGATTTACTGAAAAAAGTTCAAAATGGTCCAGTTACTTATTCAAAGGTAACAATATACTGAGTGAACCAGATCTAACTGACAGCTCTTATAGCTTTTGATCCAATAATCATTTTGTTGAAATTATTTTTTAAAGTAATTATTACATTAGAATACGTTTAAAGCATTTTTAAAATTATTTAACACTAATGAAACAAAAAAAAAAATTTTATTTTAATATATTTTTTTTTTTTTTAATTTAAAAATAGCCATTTATGCGCTTTATATTTAAATAGTTTAGATAATATTTATTAATTTTGATTAAATTCTTAATATTTGTATAGATTGTTATATTTTTAGTAAATTTTGTATGCAATTATTTTAATTTTTATAAATATTTAACATTTAATAAAAATATTTGTAAACATCATCATCATAATTAAATTAAAAATTAAATTTTATAATTATTCAAATTTAATGAATTTGCAAACAAACATTTTGTTTTAATATATATGATAATACGTTTTTAATATCTTAGTTAATTTTTTTTTTTTTTTACGCGCTTTTATTAGCCCATTAAGGGCCACAGCGGCCTCCCCAAAGGAGGAGGTTTCTTAACCATTTATACTCCGGGACGGGTGGTTAGTCCGTCGCCGGAGGTGGGATGGCGACTCCAAATTACCGAACTGATCTCTCGTTCGGTAAATGAAGCCGCCCGTGACCGAGTTTTGAACCTGAGACACTACGCGTCAAGCGCTGCCGCGTTACCGACTCGGCCACACCGTCCCACTTAGTTAATACTTAAGAGATTCCTGAATATGATATGTTGTATTTATTATTATTATAACAAAAGACTTTAACTACCGAGGTCATTAGCCATAAGTATTACAAATTAAAATAGTATTTAAAACTTAATAATGTTAACTTATTTATTTATTGTAAATCAGGAGTTTGGATTTGAAACTGGACCTAGAGGACATCAAGCTCGGACAGAGGAAGCACAAGGGATCATTCGTTTTGTAGTAATTGGTAATTCATTAGACTCAAAAGTTGAAAAAAGTACCATGATGTGGTTAATACAACTTCGAAATTTATTTCGTACTCAATTACCGAGAATGCCAGTTAGATATATTACCCGATTAGTATTTGATACGTAAATACTTTCTTACTTTAAAATTTGGGTTAAAGTAATCTTCATTATTGTTATTACTGAATTAGGAAACATAAAACTCTAGCCTTGTTGAAAGATGACGTTCCTATTGGTGGTATTTGCTTTTGTCCGTTTGTATCACAAGGATTTACAGAAATAGTATTTTGTGCAGTTAAAGTAGACCAACAAGAAAATGGATATGGAACACAATTAATGAATCATCTTAAGGATTATCATATTGAACATAAAATTTATCATTTTTTAACTTATGCAGATAAACTTGCAATTGGTAATTTTTTACCTAGTATATATAAGCAAGTAGTGTTGTAAATAAATTTTTATCATTTTTGTTTCTAGAATATTTTAAAAAACAAGGTTTTAGTCAGGATGTTAAACTCTCAAAGAAAGTGCACCAAGATTATATAAAACATTATCAAGGAGCTATCCTCATGCATTGTGAACTAAATCCAAAAATAATTTATACTCAATTAACTTCAGTAATACGTCTACAGAAAGAGGTAAATGTTTTTAATATTCATGTCTTCATTATTTTCTAATATGTTTTTGTCTCTTTAAGATTGTTAAGAGTTTGGTAGAAGAAAAACGAATGGGGGTTGAAAAACAATATCCTGGCCTCACTTGTTTTTTAGATGGTGTACGTATGGTTACAATAGAATCAATACCTGGTGTCATGGAAACTGGTTGGATGCCAAGTGCACGATCTACCAGAAACAGTCGAGTTACAGAAGAAACTACTGATGCAGATTTATTGGCTAAACACTTGAAAAAAGTTCTTCATTATGTTAGTTGTTATCATTTTTTTTATTTATTATACTCTTCAGTTATAATTGCTTTGTTAGTGCATACTATGGCATTAACATATGTTAGATGATTTTTAGTTTGACTTTCAAATAGGTAACATTAGCAGCAAAAGTTGATGATAGTACAGAAGGCGATTTAAAACTACTGTATTTAAATAACCCCAGTATCATTCTTTTTTATTTTAATTCCTAATTAAAAGTAGGTGTTCAATCAACCTTCTAGTTTTTCATAAAAAAACAATGAAAAATTATTTTATTAGTAAATTTTATATTTATTTTATCAGATAATTTTTATTTTAATTATATATTTGTTTGTATTTTAGGTAAAATCACAAAAGTCAGCCGAACCATTTATGAATCCAGTTGATAAATCAGTACCAAATTATTATGATATCATAAAATATCCAATGGGTAAGTGTCATATTAACGTTATTATTGAATTTTTTAACTATGTAATACTTTTTAAGTTCATCCCTTATGCCTGGTAAGGATGTCAACTTTGTGTTTTTAAATGGGAACACATATTTTGAATTTAATAAAATGTTTGAGTTTTTAATTTAATAGTAAATGGCATTTGAATTTTTAGTATAACTTTATTTGTTTATTAGATATAAACACTTAAAGTTTCAAATTTTTGAGTTAATATACATGTATAATACACAAGGGATTATAAATACAGGTAGTTAATTGGTTTTTTATCGCATTAGCAAGGAACACAGCATCGTTATTATCAATAGTAGTAAGGCACATTGTTGTGAGTTTATAAATACACTAACTGACAATACAGAAAGTATATTTATTGATAGTCATAACTGATAATAAACAATCCGTGAATGTGACAGCAATGTCATAAAAATCCAATTAGCTATCTGTATTTATAATCCCTTGTGTATTATACATGTATATTAACTCAAAAATTTGAAACTTTAAGTGTTTATATCTAATAAACAAATAAAGTTATACTAAAAATTCAAATGCCATTTACTATTAAATTAAAAACTCAAACATTTTATTAAATTCAAAATATGTGTTCCCATTTAAAAACACAAAGTTGACATCCTTACCAGGCATAAGGGATGAACTTAAAACGTATTACATAGTTAAAAAATTCAAGAATAATGTATAACTAAAGATAACCAAAAAAAAGATGTTTAAATTATATATATTCTGCAAGTAATTGAATGGGTTATGATAAAAAAATCACCCTCTGTATACGTAATTTAATTTTCTGTTTTATATGACTACCGTACATTGATATATTTATTTTATTAAATGAAACAATTTTAATAACTGTTTATCTGCTTATTTGAATTTAGATTTAAGTATGATTGCCAAAAGATTATCCTCGGGCTACTATGTTACACGAAAGTTGTTCATAGCTGATATGAAAAGGATGTTCACTAATTGCCGAACTTATAATCCAGATGGTTCTTATTGGTATCGTAGTGCAAATGAATTAGAGAGAAATTTTCAGACTAAAATGAAGGAGATGGGTCTATGGGACTATTGATCTATATTTATATAAATAATATTTTAGTAATCATATAATACTTGAAGGGAGCACTAATTTCCATATTACCACAAATAAATTATGCAATTTAAGTTTTAGGTAGTATTGTATGTCATTGATTTATTAATTAATTATTATTATTTTGAATTTTCAAATAATACAAGAAATGAGTATATTATGTTAATTACTAATTTAAATGAAAAATATTGTAAAAAAAAACTTAGATAAATTTTTAGTTATTATTGAATTTACTTAAAATTGAGCATTATGACTTAAATACATTTTTATTTTGAATAATTTTTGAATATTGGTTCGATTTATTAATAAATGACTGATGTAGAATTTACAAGCTACTAAGTAATATAAAATAATAATTTTGTCAGGCTTAATTTTGATTATTTTTTAAATCCTCATTTTTTAGCTTTGATGCGAAGCTGAGAAGGTATTGGTTTTACTATGATGTGTGTTTTTTTTTTTGTGTGTCTGTTACCACTTTCTTAGCTCTCGCCAAACCGATTTTATTCAACGATATGTCAAAAGATCACAAATCGCATTTAATCAATGACATTACCCTCAAAAATTGAAAAAAATTTCCCTCGTTCCCCGTAAATGGGGTAAATCTCCAAAAAAATTACTAATTTAAAAATCGCGTTTTTTTGACATTTTTTCAATTTTTTTTATTTAAAACTACCATAACTTTTTCAAAAATAATCATATTAATATAAATATTTTATTTATAGACGCATAATGTCTTTACCTATCTTTTGGTATATTTTTTTTTGTAAATCTGACACTTAACCTGCCCACAGGGAGGGGATTTAAAATGACAACTTTTTTACAAAAAAATTACTTTTTCAACTTAACTTTTGAAAGTGTTCCGGAGTGTCTGGCACTTTTATATATATATATCTTAAATTAAAGCTAATGTAATATACTTAATCATGGAAAAAAAAATTTCGGACTTTATTTTGTCTTCACGGTTAAAATGGCTACCGAATGCTATTATTGTGTGAAAATTCTCGTTTTTATTTTTTATATTTTTAACTTTATAATGCTATAACTTATTGAAAAGCGTATGGATCAACATAATTTTTCTATGAGAAATACTATTTTTTAATAATCCCTTTTTCATTCGACATACTTTATCTTAATCAGGATATTAATATGGAAATAGTAGATCATGTAGCTTTTGTAATAATCCACTAATTTTTTAAAATTAAACACTATCTAAAGATTTACATCGAAGCGTTTTTTATGATAGTGATTTTAATCACTGTCAGATATCATACTTGACTCAACTATGCCACGTAACCACTATGCCTCGACTCCCCTGTGCTGGATTTTTTACTATAAAATTGAATGAAATAAAAAGTGTTTAAATCATAAAACAAAAATTCTTGTGTGGAAAGAGTGAAATTATTTAAACCGTCTCCAAAATAAAATCATTTTTACGTAATGGATGGCCAGCTTTGATTAACTCCTTCTCCCATAACTTCAGCACTGGTTATCAATTAGTAAAACCTCATGTTGTAAAAATATTTTGCCCCTGACAAATTCCTGCGGACACCCATGGCCAGAAAATATAAACATTTATACTAGGAATTTAAAAGAAACAACCGCCATTTTCTTTAAATTAATGGAATGTTGATATCAGAAAAATTAATTGGGTTTCAGTAGTGTTATTAAATTTTTTAAACGGCCCCTGTCGGTGGCACGACATGTCGGATTCAATTTTTTCGAGCCACTTGTTTTCGTTCCAAACACATTGATAAGCGACAATGACTATTTAAAATAGTTGTTTTCCAACTTTACAAAGCTGAATCAATAAAAGCAGTTAAATTATGTCTTTGTGTTATATTTTTATACGTACTTCAAACATGTAACCATTAACATTACTCATTAATGATTCAATAATAAATCTACAGGATTCACATTTAGTAAAAACCTGAGGTACACATATTTTTTAGCCATTAAGAAATATCGATCATACCTATTTTAATAAATTATAACAATGTATTCTAACTTTGACACTAATTATAATTAATATTATTACTTTAAGACGTGATTACAATTGTAATAAATGATAAAGGCAATAAATATGTATTTTAACTATAATATTTAAATTTTTATATTAATAGGACAGTTTTTTCGAATATATAATTTATGTGCATAATATCTGTTAAAAGTCAATTTAATATAATTTTTTTTAAATTTTACATAAATAATTTGGTATATTAGAATACTATTAAATTTATCTTGATTTTATGTAAAAAATAAAACTATTAAAATTTTTGAAAAAAAATTAGTTAAATAAAAAGTTACATTTCATTTTTTTAACTGTACTTTGTTTTGATAATATTGATCGAAAATGATTTTGAAATATTTTATTCTTCTTATTGTACTCGATGTCACCTTTGCCACTTCTGTCATCTTTGAGTTTGGCAAAACAAATAATGTACAGAAACCCACAAAAGAAAAAATGATACATGAACTTAAATATATTGCCTCTGAAATCGAATTCAGAGAGGTGATGCATCCGTTTACAGGTATAAAATATAAATTAAATAATAATTCCAAACAAGTACCCATAGAAAATTTTTATTCTTCATTTAACGATTTAAACGATCAATCTTCTAATGAAGAAGTTAAAGAAAAAGCGATTCAATTACAAACTTTTCTTGGATGTGCCTTTGCTGAATATATCAGATATTTGTACTTAGAACTGAATACACTTGTACAAAACAAAGGTTATATTTCTACGTACATAGAAAATCGCAATAGAATACTTTATTTTATACCCGAAATGACAAAATTAATGTCGAAAGTAAATTTCCAAGAAGAAAACAAAAATGATATTGTTATATCTTTAAATAACCTTTATAGTTTAATCTTGAATAAATATCTTGATCCCGTAAGTTTTCACAATAAATTTACCGAAGAATACACAAAAGTTAAAAATTATTTGAACCAGAATTGTCTTCCAGAGTTCGAAGATAAACTAGAGGAGAATAATGATGACAAAATCGAAGTTAGATTTCTACTACGCAAACATATGTTTCTCATACAGTGGAAAGATTACTATATTGCATCAAATAACATATGAATGGTTAAAGTACAAAATTATCGTAATTTTTATCTCTTTTCAGTTTATTTTAAATAAAAAATTGACGCTTTGTTGATAATTTAAATAAATATAGACTTTATATATTATTATTTTAAAATATGTAACCCGCTAGTATTGTTAAAAATTTTAATTACTCCAAATCTACCTTAAAATTCAATTTTTTGCTTTATTCGATTAAAACACTATACAAAAATATTTTTTAGCAAACAAAAATTTGATTTTCTTTATTTGATTATTACTGATTACTTTTGTTGACATTTAAGCGACAGTATGTGAAGAAATTGCATAACTAGAGCAAATGTCTTGTTAAATTATGTAAGATAATTAAATATCATAGATCTTCTGTAAACGTGCACTATTATGTCCTCTAATATTGTAATATCTCAAAAGACTATAAAGTACGCCGTAGGTAACATACATCACACAAAAAAGATAAAATCTCCATAAATAATTTATTCAAATAAAAATAGTAAAATAAATCAAATGAATAATGTTTTCGAAAAAATACTTTTCTTATATAGCATAAGCTAATATTTGATTGAATTTTTGTAGAGGCTAGAATAATNTATAAGCTATTTGATTGAATTTTTGTAGAGGCTAAAATAATTCTTAGCGAAATGACCTGCACGGACACTTTATTCAAACTTATCTCATCTCTCAGGATAAACTCTGAACGATTTACATCGCTTTCTATTGGCTGAATATTTAACAATTTTAAATTAAATTATAACAGATGAAAATATTCATTAAAAATAGTTATAATCAAAAGAAATAATAGTTACTGTAACATTTGGAGTAATGCTTCAATTCTAGGGGCTAATACCCTCCGATGACCACCTATATTATATAATTTCAATAGTTTTGCTTTATGTAAATAACATATTTTTTTACTATTAAAAAAAAAATTATTTTTAAACTTTATTTTAGAATAACTAATGAGCATACACATAAGGTGGAGGATAGGAGTGTTTAGTCCCCTACAGAAATTGATCAAAATTGTATGCATTGTTTTATAAAAATAATTTTTTGTATGCGGGGAATTAAATTTAGCTTCCGTCCAAATTTGACTTCTTTACACCTATGCTGATAAAAAAAAAATGAGATTCTATACATTACTATATTTTTAATGATTTATTGAAATCCGAAATTTTAACAATGTAAATATAATGTAAATCATAATAAAATGTAACTCTAGGATTTCTGAACAAACAATTACATTTTCGTTTGCTTAGTAAAAATGGTTGAAGCAAAACAGCTAAAGCAAACGATTATAAAAATAAATCTTCAATATAATTTCAACTAATTTTTTATGATGTCCATCAATTTTCAATTTTAATTGGGATAATTTTTACGCTTTGAATTATTAACCGAATTCAAAATTGAAAGAAGTCACCAATACGATCTGTAAATTTACACGTCAATTATTGTGTAAGTTTCACCTTGAAACTTTATATCGGTTTAATATGGAGAAATATAATATAATTACAATAAAATAAATATAATCTAATTATGGTTTCCTTTGTTAGATTTTAAATTTACTCTTGCTTGGATTACTACTCTATTCACAATACAATTATTTTTAAAGATACCAAGACGTATTAGACTTTGTGAACATTAAATTGCATTTAAAGAATACAATGTTTTTAAAGAATTTTGAAGAAAGATTTTGGTATTAAATTTAAATAGTCAAATACAGTATAAAAGGAGAAGTCTCCTAAGATTATCAGTGAAATTAAATTACGAAAAGTTATGGGGGTCACAAATGTTATTGGACCATTAGTAATAAAGTAAGATCCTTTTTTTTTGAAGAGATTAATTTTCAAAAAAATGGATGAATATTATTTTCAATAAAGAAAATATTATTAAAAGCTTAAGAGTTACAAAATAATATCAATAATACATATACACAAGTTTTTATTTTATAGATGTTATAGACTTGAGAACAACCTTAAACTTTATTGAAAAAAAGTTTNAACTTGAGAACAACCTTAAAGTTTATTGAAAAAAAGTTTTACGATATTCATGTAACATTTTTTTTAATTACATTAAATTTAAAGTAAACATATATAATTTTTATTTTACCGAAACAAATTTTCAGTGTGATTTTCATTAAATTTAGATTTTATTATATACATCAACAATATGTTAACACGTTGTTTTAGCATAAGCTGAA